AAGAGCTGGGGATTCTACCTGGATCGAGAAGTTATACTGACCCTCCAACAGCTTGTACATGCAGTTCAGGTCGTAGTTGAACACTTTGCGCGACTTAGCCGCATCCCACGGCCGGAGCAACTGGTTCTTGAACTAAATCGTATGTCGTTTCTGGAATATCCAAACCAACCAGTTACAAACATTTTTGTCGGCGTAAAGTCTCTCTGCTGGACACTTTCGGAGATCGTAGACAAAGTCGGTGGTTCGGTACTGCAGGAAGGGCGTCGTTGAAGTCTCGGATGCAATTGCCAAGGGCACCTAGCAAAACTTGTTGAGCTTGCGTGTTGAACTTGGCGTAGGGATTACCTGAACCGTGGAATGGGAGCGGTAAGCTCGTTGAGGCTGATCGTCGTTGGGTGTAAGTGAATTCATCGTGTCTCTCCATGAAGCGCTTACATGCAACTAAATATGCGTGTGTAAAGCTCGCCTTGCCAACACGACAGCAGAATAAGGCAGAGTTCACGTAAAGCGAAGATATTCACGCAGGGAGCCGTCATTACTTGAGTTGAGGGCATAACTTGGCGCCGAGGTTGAGCGACGCTCGGACGCGTTCGATGCTAATTGGGTGTAAAACACGAGGACACCGCGACGCGGACGGGAAACGCCTCATGAAGCGCTAAGTTCGGAAATGAGGGGCGAGTAAGTGGGGATTGGCTATGCACACGCTCACGCATGCATCTGGAGCCGGGAATATGCGCCCGTTTGCAGAGCGGGCATCATCTGCGGAATGGCATCCAGACGTTTATATCCATCGAGAGCCGAGGGTGTGAGGAGCGGCAGCGAAAAAAAGATGATGCATGAGACGCCACAAAATCCGGCCGGACGGGCGACCCAGCCCGCTATAAAGTTAAAGACAATTGCCAATTTGCGGTCATCGCCACCAGTGAAAACTCCGCGACACACTTTCGGAAAGACCTATGGAACGCTGAAGAATGCAGGCCGCCTACCATGCGATAAACATTTTCGGGCCTTTTTGTGTACTTGTTTATTCATGCGTACGTAGGCCCCCAAAGAAAAAAATTGACAAATTCTTTACGATCAATGCAGGGATTAGTTCAGAACTCAGCAAAATTTTGCTCCTGCCGTGATGGCATGATGGCAGAGGGTCGCGGAACGAGAGCTAATAATGACTGCGACGCGATGACTAATGGATCCGCGTTGTGAAGGATTTCGAAATTGCCAATGTTTTCTGTGTCCTGGAGAAGGTGTTGGAAAAGTTGTAGATTCGTGCCGGTCTTATAAGCTCTTTTAGGTTCCGGCTAGCGTAAAGTGCAATGGCCACGGTTCACTTGACAATCACGTCACCTTCGCTGGAGTTCCCGTATGAAAAGGCACGTCGTCCGGCAGCCAAAACGTCTCACAACACACTTTGTTTCAGGCTTATTCGGGTGCGACCACGCTTATCGACTTGAAGGTACTCATCGAAATATGACTACAACCAGCAGGAACGACTTTTAGCGCAAGCTGGAACTCGTCGTGGGCGTGGCAATGCAGGACATGAAGCTCGAGCTGCGCAAGAACGATAACAAGTTCGTAGCGGAGCTCAACGACGAGAGCAAAGTGCTCACGGAACTTGGCGTGAAAGACGGAAGCGTGATCCACGTCATCGACATAACCGCGGGAAGCAACGGAGGCGGCGCCCAGGGTGCTGGAGCAGCTGGCGATGTTGCTGAGCGCTACCGCATAGACGACGAGAAGTACAATCAACGAAGTGGTTTGTTATTAACCCGCGTGCTGCAAGCCAACTTAAATTCCAAACGACTCAAAACTGCTTAGTCAGACGACTGGCAAATCACACGTACTACTAACGGTAACGGCTTTAGATAGCGTCCGCGCTTGGAAGCAGAGCTTGGGCGTCACGGAAGACACTTTGCCGGAATACATTCGTGTCGGTCATCGATGCCTTGTTCGCGTCTCTGGCAATCCGGATCGCAAGGGAACTGTGGCGTTCGTCGGCAAGACGCACTTCAAGCCTGGCAATTGGGTCGGCGTGGTCTACGATGAACCCGTCGGCAAGAACGACGGCTCGGTGGACGGACAGAGGTAGCGCTAGCGATGGGGGCTGCTTGTTGCATTGCGCAAACTTAGGTACTTCACCTGCGAGCCCAATTATGGCGGTATGGTATCTCCGAAAGCGATCTTCCCCGATACGGCTCTTCCTGCCAAGCCCGAAGAAATGGAGGAAATGTGATCTTGACCTTTCTCATGTTGTGCACTTTCACTTTGGACTACGTTTGTTTGGCAAGGGTGAACAGTGTCCCTAACGTTGCGTAACCAGATAAATGACGACTGATTCTGTGGCTGACATGCACAACATTTTTTTGTAACCGTTGAAATAGAACTTGTTATTCACCGCAAAATATGTACAATGTGAACCGACGAAGACTAACGTCTCATAAAACAAGTGCGAGAAGGCGCTTTCGTTTAGGTTTTTGGGTGCTACATAGCGTTCACAAGTCGTCGCCTGAAAGCGATCCCTTAGAAGAATCGAAAGTGGTTCCCCATACGGCCGAGTTGGTGCGTCTTGTTCGTCAACGGCACGTATATGACGTCTGCGAGGTTTCTCTTCTTGACTTCATTCGGTCCGACTTTGTCCACTTGGAGGAACTGTTGGTGTGAGCCGGAGCCGACGGGAATGAGCATGCGGCCACCCACCGCTAGCTGTTCCACTAGCTGAAAGGGCTCGTTGCCAAAGATTGTACTACAAAACCTAACCGCTTGCGGAAGCTTGTCGGCAGCTGCGCCGACGTGAATGGCGTCGTACGGGGCCTCTTTCGGGTAGCCCAAGCGGCCGTCCCCCTCGAGCAGTTCTAGGCGTCCACTCTCCAGCAGATCTGCGTGGTGTTTCCTGACGTTTCTATCAGAGAGGTCGACTAGTTCTTCAATATGCTCGATGCCTATCACTTTTCCCGCTGGACCGATCTGCAAGCAATGTCTGATGACGAAGGAAACTAAACCTATACCATCTTGGCGAAACATGCAGCGAGATAACCGGACCCAGAACCAACGTCTAGGATCTTCGAGTTCTCCTTAATTACGTCTTGGAGCTTTTCGAGCGCCGTCGCATGCTGCAACTGTGCAAGGTAGAAGCTTCAATGCGGCGGATTTACAAACCATGTGCGGAGCGCTGATCGTTGCGCCGTAACCAATGGACTGCGGACAATCTTCGTAGGGGTTGTGCTGGGTGAAGTCGCCTCGGTCCACTGCCTTCATAACGTCCAGGACGCGCGTACTTTTTATTATGTGGTATTCTGAAAGAACGATTTACGTAGCTGATAGGCCAAGCGATAGAAAGCTAGCCACTTAGGGACCTACCGTGAAGTTTACGAACGAGATCTTCATTCGTGCGTCCGTAGGATCTCCATGCCATGTTGATCCCACGAACGCAATTTCGTAGGTCAACGCTTCTCGGCCGAATATTGGAGTCTTCCTTCTTAACGTCCAAGACGTCAGTCACACCAGTGGAGTGACTTTTCGCGCAACCGACCACCGTTATTGCAAGAATGTGCAAGAAACAAATCAGTGAAGGAAAGGCTAGCTTCATGCTGTCCAAATCGTTAAGCCAGGCATGTATTTACCAACCAGATGGCCGGCAATCCAACCCAACGTAAACAAGGGATTTCGCAAAAGCATTTGTGGGCCAACTTCTCTTAGGGTCCCCGAGGCTAACGAATGTTTTTCCGTCGACGAACATTCTTAACTCAGTTCTTGACTGCCAGACAGCACAGTCCATGCATAAACCGAGCTCAGTTAAGTGCTGGAGTGATTTCTCTCCTTCATTGCTAAACATTAATGACTCGTCAACGTCATAATTTGCAAAAGTGCGCAGCATAAACCATCTTTCTAGTCGCCATGTATTGGAGGAGAGGGAAACACAACTTGATGCATAGTCAAAAAAAGGAAGCCGAGAACGCAGCGACCTCGTCGATTCCTCGTTTGTTTGGCCACGTGCTATTTACGCGACCGACCGGCGCTAAGTCGCAGTTCCATGAGTGCGGAAACATCTTTGCATTTGCACCGCCTAACTAGATCGCATTCACAATGGTGACTCTTGATAAATTTATTGTACAAGCCTATGTATAATTGATGTCTTTCGATAACCAAATGCATGTCGCTGGAAGTCCAACGTAGTTTGCTTTGCAAATTTCGATGCTGTTTTTCTATAAAGTGCGTTCCCTAATTTGGCTCAACAACATCCGTGCATAGTGACTTTCGTTCTCACACGAGTCGCAATGTTTTCGGCGTTCTTTGTGCATCCTCCACTGGCTGTAGTGGGGTGATGCATTCGTCCCTCAGCCCGTTGTGGTGCACTCCCTTCCAGTTACTGCAGTTCTGGGCTCGGTGTGAAAAACATGCGGCAATCATGCCAGCGAGCCGCTGTAGCGTTGCTGCGTTTGACCTATGCTTATCAGAACGCCCTCCTTATAAATACTTGCAAACCCGGTTCGAGCGAACTAGTAATGTCAGCAAACAAATGCGGTGGTGTGACGTAAAACGAACTGGTTCGATACTTTACTTTTTACCGAAACTATTACTAGGGTCATAGCGCTGAATTTCGGCGTCTTGCCATTAATTACCAATCATAATCGATACCTTTTAGATCATAACATGTCTGTCCGATACGACCTAGTTCTTTACGGTGCGAGTGGCTTCACGGGCGCGTACGTCTTGGAGGCCTTGGCGATGACCGACTTGCAGGGTGCCACTTTCGCCGTTGCCGGCCGCAGTGAAGCAAAGCTGAAGAAGACTCTCAAGGAAGTCTCCGACCTCACAGGTAGCTCAACTCTTCCGCTAGCGCAATACAAATAGGACAAACTGAATGTATTGCTCTGCATAGCAACAGCGGAATGGTCATTCACTCTTAGCAGGCTGATAAAAATAGCCCGGAAAGCGTTGCGCTGATAATTCTCCTCTCCGCGAGAATGGGTTTCCTTGTGGCAGCAAAAGGAGTGTAAGTCACCGGCCCCGTGGCCTAATGGATAAGGCGTCGGACTTCGGATCCGAAGATTGTCGGTTCGAATCCGGCCGGGGTCGAAAAATTTTTTTGCCTCACTACTTTGCCATGCAACAACGCTATGTCATGCACGCTGCATGTATGGACCAATCCCATTTAGGCAAGGACCTGAGCAAGACCCCCATTATTGTCGCAGACTCCAGCAATGCCGAACAGCTGGCTGCTATGGCCCGTCAAGCCAAGGTCATCATCAATGTCGTCGGACCGGTAACCATCGCTTGAATTACTTCTCTTATTCTACTTGCTGCTTTAGTACCGCCTTTACGGTGAAGCAGTGGTGAAAGCGGCAGTTGAGAACGGTGCCAGCCATGTGGACATCTCGGGAGAGCCAGCGGTAAGTTGCGGCGGAATGAATTCTGTTGAGCATGTTGCCGGTCATAGTTCCTCGAATCGATGCAGCAGAAGTACGGCGAAGAGGCGAAGCGTAATGGAGTCTACGTCGTGGGTGCAGCCGGCTGGGACTCGATCCCGTGCGATCTCGGAACTAACTTCGTCAAGCAGAATTTCCCGGGCACGCTGAGCCACGTGGAGACCGTGGCAGAAACCAAGAGTGGACCAGCGGTATGTTTAGTCAAAGCTTAGCTCTACGAGCAGAATGCGCCTGTGACTAACGATGACTGACGCCGTTCAGGGTTACTCGTTCAACCAAGGCACTTACCAGACAATCATCTTATCGATGTTGAATGCAAAGAACGACGGCTTGGGCAAGATCCGCAGGGCGATCATGCCTGAGAAGCTGCAGAAGGCCAAGTACCGGCCGCAGAAGAGGTATAATTGGCTTGAAATTTTCCCGTCTATCCTTAACTTTAGGGGTCTGTTGTGGTTCAACGAAGGCATTGGAAAATATATGCTGCCGTTCCCCGGCGCGGACAAGAGCGTGGTTCAGCGATCTCAGTACTTCGACGCGACGGTCAACGGTGCCTATCCGGTTGGCATCGAGACCTACATCGCAGTCAGCTCTTGGTTCTGGGGCGTGATGGGCATGCTGTGGATGATGCTCCTGCAGTTCTGCGTCAAGTACGACTTCACGAGGAAGTTCTTCCAGAACAACCCGGGTCTTTGCTCCGGCTACACCTTCAGCGAGAACGGACCCACTCGTGAGCAGGCGAAGCAGGTGCGTCTCGTAGACCAAGATGCCTGCATAATTCCGACTGCAAGCAAGTACATCTTTTCTAGGCTACCTTCACCTACTGGTTCTTCGGCTACGGCTGGCCGTCTGACAAGCCCAACTTCGACGAGCCGCCTAAGAAATACGTGGTTGCCCGCTGCGATGGCCCTGATGCCGGCTACATCGGTACCGCGGGATGCATTGTGTCCTCCGCGCTGACCGTGCTCCGCGACCGAAATGACATGCCCGACAAGTATGCTAGCGTCATTTGTAGGAAGGATTTTGTCGCCGTTATGTCGCGTTGGTTGATCCGTACGCCGGTATTTTAGCGGTGGCGTGTACACTACGGCAGCTGCTTTCAAGAACACCAAGATCTACGACAGACTTGCCAGCTTTAACCTTACGTTCCGTTTTGACGACTCGGTGAAAGCACAGATCTAATCCCTTCGAGGATATACCCTCCTTTTGACGATGACTGTCCTCGTTGACTAGGATTTGTTTTGACATTTTATTTTGTTTGACGATGATTAGTAAAGAACGGCATGTGACCGACGATTACACCTTTAGCAGAAGACTTAAAATAGAAAGACTTTCCTGTTCACTCCCCGTGTATGGTTAGGTAGCAGAAGGGTTTTAAAGCTATCATAAGGAAACACTTGTACTTTGTGGTAAAGTTTCAAGCTGGTTCTTTTCTCTCTTGTTACGACAGATTCATCTGAAGCATACATATCTGCGAGGAACGGTTCCGCACCACCAACGACAGTTCTTGCTCATCACAGAAAATTTCATCGAGCCATGCAGCGATGCGTCTTTATTAAGTGGAATGCCCATGTTACAAATTGTCAAGAATCAAGTCATGTGAGCGTCCGATCCATGTCGCCGACACTTTGTGGTCACGCAAATCATCTCCCGTGATTGGGTGAAGGAGGATGTCAAGGGAGCCATGGTTGAGAACGAGCCATTCCACGACGGACGTGAAATTAGCTGGTTCTATGTATAGCTGATAGGTCCATTTGGGATGCGGACCAACGGGCCTCTGCAAGCAAGGATTCCAGTAAAGAAGGTGATGCAAGTGGAAGTGCAGGATGAAGGACTTGCCTCGTGGAAATGCCCGATGGCCACCTTGTCACCAATATGCTTCTTGATGGTCTCGCGCAACTGCCATGCTGCATCACGGCTATCCCCGTCGAAATATATGTGAGCATGCCAACCCGTAATTTTCGATCCGTCGACGACGTCCTCCGGCATGCTTGTGCAAAACCACTGGCAGAAAAATAGCTCAATTGCACCCGCAATTCACCTCTGGCGATGTGGGAGAGAACTGGGCTCCGTTTATTATAGCAGCGCAACCCAGATAGCATTGTGCTTGTGGTGCCTGCGCCCGCCTCTAGTTTGTGCATTGGTCAGTCGTGACGCAGCCATAACAGCAAAGTTACGTGACCGAACCGATTTTCCCGTAGTTCCCACGTCACGCTGTAACTCTTATTCAGTTAGCCATCTGAGGATTCCAACGAATGAGGTCGCTTAATGCGGAACAAGAAGTGTACTGGGGCTGTGATTGCAAACGAGTTAGAAGTTTTATTCTCTGGACACTGCACAGATGGAATCCACAGGCTAGCAGGTAAGTAGAATATATCGGCGAATCAATATACATCGGGACGATAAGCCCAGCAATCTTCGTAGCACACTGAGATTCAAAGCATGAGATCAGAGTCTGCAGAGTCATCAGAATATTCGGACTCGTCGACGTCCGGATCCGCGGGATGCAAAGCGAGTTGGCTCAAGTTGCGATCGGTGCTCTCATCAGCCAACTCAACAGTCATGCGAAGCCTCTTGTTCGGGGGCAGAACGAGCTCGCGCACGTAACAGTCCATATTCGAAGTTTTTCGCAAGTGCACAAGGCCGGTCAGATTGTCCTTCAGTTCTTTCGTAGCTTCTTCCAGATTCTAAAGTTCTTTGAATAAAGTTTGATAACATGGCTGTGCTCTTTGCCTCGGATGACGAAGGATAGCAGACGACTTCGAGATTGAGGTCGACCGCGCACGTCCTGGACTGCAACTTCGAGAGAGCCGTTTGCGCGCTCTGAATGGCGTTGAGAATCTGTGGGAGTGGATTTGATGCAGCGGGCTCTTTCTAAATGCGGCATAAATATTAATGTTTAAGGATGATGCCTACGTCAAGCGTGCTTCGAACGGATACAAAGATCTTCTCGAGGCCGGGACACAGCTTCAGCGCGATGCGAAGAAGAGAGTCCACCATTCGAACTCGAGACAAGTCGAAGTCGGTGCCATCATGAAGAACGGAGAGAGACTTGATGTGCTTGTTCGTGCCGGCAACAATACGCCTTGAAATTGCAAGAAGATTCGACACTCCTCTAACTTGCCTACCCTTCATTGTTATGCGCGAAGAAGACAGCTTCACTGACGTCAACGCGCGCAATCACTTCAGAGCAGCTCAGATTCAGGGCCTTGCCGAAGGCTTCGTTGCACCAACCGTCCCAGAATTCGACTTCGACGGTAGTAAGGTTCAGCGGAGTCGTCGCGAGCTCCGTGACCATGCGAGGTGTGCAGTGCACTTGCTTGAGCGTCTTCTCGTGGCGTCGAAGGAAGCACGCAAAGTTCGGCCAAAACTCGCGCCACTCGTTCGCCGGCAGACAGGCCACTCGAACCGATGTGATATCTATGGCAGAATTATTAGCCGCTGCTTATACATATTCGTACTCTTGAAAGGAAGCTGAGTCAACCGCGGCATCGGTCCCTTCTTCGAGAGCGAGAAGATGGCAACCGTGTTGAACTTGATTAGCGACTCCTTGGTGATGTACTTGATGATTTCCTGATCGACCTCGATGTGCTTGCGGCTTTTATTCGGATTCTGCAATTCAGACGTTCTGTTGTCACATGAGAAGACGCACGATAGTCTCACTTTCTGTCGAGGCTCCCAAATCGCGTTGAACTTTCCAGCGGCGATGTTTACTTGCTTCAACGTGCGCAAGTGATGCCAGAATGCCTTTTTGCAGACGGTGTCCAGAAGCTAAATCTGCGGCGTAGAATGCTGCACAAGGAGACGCAACCAACCGTAATTTGGAACTTTTCGAGTGGACGGCGATTACCGGTGAACATATAGTTCCCGACGACTTGCGAGATGGCATCTCGATCCAACCGCCTCCTTGTCATTGTCCTTCTGTTCGTGTAGTGATCCCTTAATTTTGGTATCGTTGGTGTTGTGGAACGGTTAACCGTAGCATACACGGTCAGGACGTTAGTCCACAACGGGCTCGTAACCGGTACAATAGAGAAACCATGGACTTAAGTTCAGCGAAAATAAAAGAACTTCAGGACACAAATTAATCTCTCCGGCTCAAATTAAGCACTGTGTCGAATGGCTACTCAAGTATGGCCAAGTTGTTGACCCATAGGTTCATTTAAACTTCGCGCGAAAACGAGCCAACCTGTGCGCTTCGAGACCCCATGGAAAATGCGCGGTCCTGGAAAAGTTCTCATAGGAATGGACGTTTGTAATGTCCATTGCATATTTTCGCCCTTGCACCAGAACGGTTGCCAAAATGGGTTTCGTAATTGGTGGCCGCATGAAGTTCGTTCACGAGGAAAAATTATTACTTCCTTGCTCAACATTTCGAAAATAAAACTATGTAGTTTCGTAAGTGTCTCACCAAGTGATGACTCAGTTCATCTCTTGCATAAAGGAAACGTTTGTGCGCAGTGTACACCGTTCGTGGTCGGTCCGTTTTTTTTTGTCTGTTATCCAGGCGCCTTTCTTTCGAGCTACTGCATTATTTTTACTATGTCATAGCTCTATATTCATTAAGTCGTGCGTTCAGACAGCTTCCCGACGATGTCGACCTCCGTCAAGCACCGTGAGTTCATCAGCGAGCCGATGGGTGAGAAGGAAGTG